TATCCAATTGACGTAATGTAAATACCAAGAAATCTCGAGATTAAGAAAAGCATTGATCTCGATATCTACCATTCTAAAGTTTCAGCTCAGAGCTGAAAACTTTAGAATGAAATATCCATAATCCAAATCAGTTAATTAATATGGAGATAAATACCAAGAAATCTCGAGATTAAGAAAAGCATTGATCTCGATATCCACCATTCTAAAGTTTCAGCTCAGAGCTGAAAACTTTAGAATAAAATATCCTTAATCCCAATCAGTTAAATAATATGGAGATTAATACCAAGAAATCTCGAGATTAAGAAAAGCATTGATCTCGATATCCACCATTCTAAAGTTTCAGCTCAGGGTACATAATTTAGAAAATGTTAAAATGTACACATCATAAGATTTGAGAATGGAGTATATTTCAAAATCAACTATTGTTTGAACATTTCCAAAAATCATTTTACTTATAGGCAAGAAAAAACTATTCTCTTACCACGGAAGAAAAAGAAGATATCAGTGAAGAGTGGAAGAGTGGAGAAGAAGAGCAGCAAATATAAACTCAAGATTCTCGGATTCTCTAATGATAAGAAAGCTCGGAGCGATTCTCCAGATTCTGGTTTCTCCAGCAGGTACTTATAACACCATACGGGGTTACCCCTGGAGATTTATTTTTTTGTAACCTCCCCCCCCCCATTTTTATGAAGCATTTTGTGTCTGATTTTATAATAATAAAACTTACTTATTAAATTCTTATTCCATTCTCATTATTTATTAAGATTTTATTTAAAAACAAACGGAAATGTTCTCTTTGACGAAAAAAAACATGATTTTGATGAATCTTAGAACCCTGAAGATCAGGGTAACTGATATTCCTTTTTTTAAATCAAGTTTTCTAGTTTAAAGATAATTTATCCTTTGACTAATTGACGGGTGTTGTTTTTAAACAGTATTTTATAATAGCAATGGCTGCAATTTAATAACTGTAAGCATATCTGAAGCCAGTGCTCAGTATCCATTAAATTTTGATCCCAATCCAGTATCCGGACTGGAATAAAATGATCATAAACCTTAGCTATTTTTTAATGTTTGGCTAAAATTCAGTGATAAAAAAATGATTAATATTTTTTTCTCACAACAGTTCAGATTCGGATTTTGAGAGCAAAAGATTTGTGTTTCCAGTTTTTTAATTGATATTTTGCACCTTGGATCCGGATCCGCATATTTTTCCGGATCCAGGGAAACAAAATGATGCCAATCCTACTGATCGGGATCCGAAGCACTGTCTGACACTTATTATTTTAGGTCCGTAACTCCAGTGGAGGCTGAAGAGGATGAGCACACAGAAGAGGCCGTGGATGAGGATTCTAACCAGGAACTTGACTCCATCAAGGAGGACTTTCTGAAATCTCTTGATGAAGATGATGATGAAGGAGATGATGAAGATGATAAAGATTGGGCCGCTTCCAAGTATACTGATGTTCAGAAAGTCAAGAAATCTGCAACTGTTGTGCACTGCGCTCCTATCATCAAAGCACAGGCTAAAAGCGCTTTTGAGCTAGTGCGCGATAAGAAAAAGCAGGCAAGAAGTTGATTGTTTTTAATGGTGGAAGAAACTATTTCAATATTTTCAAATTCATTTTCATAAATATCGTCAAACTTGTGAATAAAATATTTAAGCTCTGGTACCGGGGTAAAACCAATGCACTTCGTAAGAAAGAAGTTTTAAGGAGAACAATACTAGTTTCTTATTTTTAAATGTTATTTTAACCAATCATATAATATCACCTAAGTAACCTGAAATTTGTTAAGGAGGTGGAGAAGATGATGGCCGCGTTAAAACAGCAGTGGGAGGAGCATAAACGATTATCAACTCCTAAACCTAAGAAGCGCGAGTTCACGGCTCACAGGTGGACTTGAAATTTTCAACCTGATGGTGTAAACCTTTGATACTTCAAACTTGGTGTTTTTTAACTTAACAATTCATAGATCACTTTCAAGTATTTAATTTTTAATATACCAACCAACTAGGATAGGACAAGAACTTTGGGTTTAGGATCCGGATCCATTGGATCCTCAAGATTATGGCTTCCTGGATCTACGGATCCGGATCCAAGGGGCAAAATATCATCCTTTAAATCCCAAAAAATGACTATTAAAATCCAATTATAAACAGTTGCAATTAGAGATTATTTAACATTTTCCTTTTCTCTGAATGAATCCGCAATTTTTAGCATAAAAATAAGCTAAAAGAAGAAAAATTATTTGACCATTCTTCTTTGTTAATCAAATTTAGTAAATCTTAATCCGGATCCGTATCTCCATTTTTTTCCAGTCCAGATCCGCATCAAAAAAATTATTTCACATGCTAATCTGACGATTTACATTGAAGCCGAACTTAAACATCAATTTTCTCTTTCTTTTTACAAATGCTGTTTTTTTTTATGTAAAGAATTGTGCTCTCAATTGATCAACTTATTTAGGCGAGTGTCAACGGGGGAGATTGGTGAAATAAGACGATCAGGACGATCTATTGGAGCAAAGGTAATTCTTCAGCTTGGGGGAGGGGGGGGGGGGTACATTTCTTCCTCATGTAAACTAAGATACCTTGATGAAAACTAAGATTTTTGAAAATAAAGCTTACGAGTCTCGTTGTCAACATAGATAGATTTCTAGAGATTATTAAGAATTTGGACACAGAAGCGTCAAAATTACTATTTATTACATTTTTATGCAGTTGATCGAAATGTTCATGTAGCTCATTTTAACTATTTTTATCCAAGGTCGAGTACGGAGATCTAGATTTCTCTCCGGCCAAGCGTCTACGGGAACTTGGAAAAACTGGACACACTTTCAATGAGGAAGAATTTAGGTAAAATATATTTCATTCCACCTTGGGGAAGAAACTATGCTTAAGATCATAATCGGACAAACATTCCCCTGATATAAAAGATTTCCTGAAAAAAACTCAAATTACTTAAAACAAGAATTTATATCAGACAGCCGTAAACCTTTCCTTTGGGTCCTAAGATTATTTTAACCTAATCGATTGATGTTTATTTAATACATACAGGAAGATATTTAATAAATTGATTAAGGTTTGTACAAAGAGAGAAAGGAAACACTCCCCGGAGTCACATTGATCCAAATGTTAATGTTCTTCTACCAGATGATGTGACACAGTCCATGATTAACAGGTGATAAAACAGGGGGAGATATTGATATTCATTGATATTGATACATACTGATTCATATTGATTGATGTTGATTGATTGACTTAATGTATTCATATTGATTGGTATTCATTGCTATCCAATTGACGTAATGTATTCATATTGATTGGTATTCATTGCTATCCATTGAGATTGATAGATTGACGTAATGTATTCATATTGATTGGTATTCATTGCCATCCATTGATATTTTATCGATATTGATTGATTGACGTAATGTGATGATATTGATTGGTATTCATGCTTTTCATTGATATTGATTGATTGACGTTCACGTAACAAAATGACGGGACACATTGATCAATAGAACTGTTGATGATTTATTTTATTTTTTACACCCCTGTTGATAATTGATTTATTGACTTTTTAATGCGAACGATGCATCGACTCATCGATGCATTTACGCATTTATTGACTGACGCACTGATGCCTATTGCTGATTCATATGATTTAGGATACACTTCAGTGGACCTAAGAAATACTGTCAGTCAACTGGAACATGTTGTCATCAGTGTCGTCAGAAAACTACCGATACCAAAACTGTTTGTAGGTTAGGTTGCTATCTGGGTATTGTGCTAATTTTAAACATGTGTGGTCTAACTTACGCGTAGACTTTTTATAGGCGGGGGCCTTCAAATAGAAGATTTATGTTTGTGAAACAGATTCTGTTTCCTGTGAATATTAATAATCAGAGAAGGAGGGGTGGGGTACATTATTGTATATTTAGTATGTTTTTGTCTTCCGATCATAACTCTTTCACCAATTTGCCTTTTTTGGCTTAGGAACCTCGTTATAACCATAGGAATTTTCTTAGCTTTATATGAATATTTATATTCTGTGTACGAACGGGAAAACTTAGACTCTATTCAATATCCTATATTAGTTTCTCATAGGGATGAAATTGGATATTGAATATATCTCAAGAAAAATGATGGTTAAATTATCTTACAAAGTATTAAAGGATGACTTCCTGGTGGTTCTGTTGGCTAACAACTTAATAATTGAAGGTCCCATTTTATATAACTATCTGAAATGGTTAAATATTATCAGAATATGGGATACAATTTTGGAATGAAATAATAACACAATAAATAGCCAGCAGGATTCATCAGGACAACATCTATGGTGGCGTGGTTTCCTCTCAACGCTGTTCCATAGTCCCAAATAAAGAATAATTGACAATGAGCAATCTTAGCTCAACATGAAGATATATTTCTCATCTAAGAATTTTATTCATATCTAAAACCATTCCCTTGGTTCTACCCGAGTAGCTAATCAAAATTTTAGGCAAATCGGTCATGGGGTTCATGAGTTACGATCGGACATACACATTACACACAGACTAAACATATTTTTTCTCTTAAATCCATTTTTTTCCCCCTATTTTTTCTTCCGTGTTCTAAAAATCCCATGGGCAACGTTTGAACGTCAGTTAGTACTTGATAAGTTAATATATATATTTATAGATATCATATTCTTAGGTCAGGTCAATGTGTTGGGATGAGGGGACAGTTTTGTGGATCCTGTCTAAACAATAGATACGGAGAATCCGTAGCTCAAGCGCTGAAGGTCCGTATATATTCTAAGAATAATAAAAATAACTGTTGAGCCTTAAAGATTTGTTTAATTGTTTTTTTGAAATTTTTGTTTACTCGAAAAAATATTTTTCCTTCCCACCTCCTCTGAAAATCATCTTTTTTCTCCAGAAGATATATTTGCTTGTGCTTTGTACTTTTGCTTTGTGTGCAACAATATTTTCTGTTTCTATTTCTCGTTGAATTGGGGGAAAACATGATTTTACGAGAATATTCATGAAATTGTTGTGTAAAAACGATTTAAAAGAGTGAAAAAAGTTACCTTGTGACGAACAATTTTTCACCCCCCCCCCCCCTGTCATGAATAAACCTCCCGGGGGGGGGGGTTGATTCAGAAAAATAGTTTTGTAGTGAAATAACTCACAAAATTATCTTTATAAAATTATGGATGGGGGTCAAACTGTGATACCTAAATAAGTTAAAATGGATTCTTTTTGAAGATATAATTCTATTATCCATAGATTATGTAAACAAACTTATGTGGTTACCTTAACCCTATCCCCGCTGGGGTACTTGAAAACCAGGATACGCGGGGGGGGGGGTCAATTTGCCCCCCCCCCCTCTAAATCCCATGTTTTATGTCCAAATATGACAAATGATACATCATTAGAAAGCTCTTGTGCTCTACTTTTAGAATCTGCAAAAAAATTGCAAATTTGCGAAAATTGAATTTTTTATCGCAAAATCCAGTTTTATAGTAAAAATGTTTGCAAAAAAAATTTGTCCAAAAAATGACAAATTATACATTTTTGAAAAGCCCTTGACCATGCCATTTAAAATATGCAAAAATTTTTGCAAAATTTTAAATAACCTGATTTTTAATCAAGAAAAACTAAAAATGTGCAAATTTCCTTTGACAGGTTGTTTGCAAAAAATTTGCAAATTTTTTTTCGCAAAACTTGTGCAATCCGTTTCCTTATGTCATAGGCTTTCCAAAAAGCTAAATTTTATCAAAATCTGACAAGTGAAAGTGGGTCAAAACAAAGATTTAGTTTGCTACAGGCAAAAGCAGTCATTCAGGCAGTGTGCCTGAGGACTCAGACAGTTAGTATTAAAGCCCGGTTTTAGGCCTAAAGGGAGGGCTTTGGGTATGTAAGAAAAGTCAGAAAATTTCAACAGCCTCAGACCAATACTTATTGAGTTATGTAAAAAAAAACTACAGGGGGGGATCAAATTGACCCCCCCCCCCCAGCGGGAATAGGGTTAAAGAATGAAGGGAGGGAGGGGGGTAAGTAAAATCTATGCTTGCTTATGTAAAATATTTATTTTGTAGGATCCTGACTGGAAATGTCCGCCCTGCAGACGAATCTGTAACTGCTCTTTCTGCCTGGAGACCCCTACTGGTCAACTTTACTACCTGGCAAAGGTATGTTTTTAGCATTTAAGGGTCTTAATCCTTGATTTCAAGTAACCCTCCATGCAACGATGCAACTCAATCTGATTCACGGCGCTACCCTTGAAACCTTTACTTAATCAACATTATTGATAATTTCTAATTTTCTAGGGTTAATTTGATTTTTCTGATAATTCCTAGGGTTTTGTTGATTTTCTTAGAATCTTGAAAAATTGCACACATTTGAACCGCAATTGAAAATTATTTGGTTTTTAAAATGTTTAACATTGATATCTAACTCATACTTAATCAGATAAAGCTTTTGAGGTACCGTTGTGAATCGACAAATGTAATCTTTGTACAGGTCACTTGTTATTACGTTAACAGTTCCTTACCTGACCGCCCGGCCCACTCACTTCCCAATCTTTTGTTATCTTAGTGAATCTGGCTTTATCTAGGGGAAATAAATTAGGATTGGGGTTTTTTTTATATATTTAGAAATAGATTCTAACAGTAACATATAAAAGATTCTAGGCTGCACCGGCTGCACGCCAAAGCATTGCTTTAGACACATCACCGTTAATTTTAAGAGTTTTCAAGGAAAAGACCTGCTTTCAAGTAGATTTTTGACCTTTTAAACAAGATTCCAACAACTTGGACACTTGCACAAGTAATTTATGGTTTTGACTGAATCAATTTTTACCNAAATGTGTTCGTTGTAGACTCTTCCTGTAAACTAAAGCATTGATTTAAAATTAGTGCTTCATTTATTTTGACAAAGAATATTTTAGCATCTCAAGTTTGCCTCGGTACATCACTATCTCATGCACCTACGAGAGAAATGGTCACGGGAAGAGCAGAAAAAAGATGATGATGAAAATGAAGACGAGAATATGGGAGAAGACTAAAGATAAAAAATCTGATTAAGTTTTCGGATAATTCTGCTTTCTTGGATTTAAAGCTCAACTTTAATGGACATTTTTTGAAGTGAAATATCTGTGTTCCAAACCGTGGTTTAAAATTGTGACCTTTGATAACAAGAACTCAGTCTCAAAATTACTTAAGCATATGCTTAAAATCATTTTTTGCTCTAGATGATCATTATCAGTTTAATTTTTGTATCGCGATGATGGTAATTTGTGAAGATTTATATTTATGGACTAAAAATAATGTAACGCACACAATGGGATTCGAACCCCATTTGAACAAGAGGAAACCTTACGCTTAATTAAAACAGTTGATGCCTTAATGTGCCTTGATGTTTTTCTTTCTTTATCGATCTCAAATATTTAAGTTTGGCTTTTAAAATTTTTGAAAATTTGATTGTTTTAACCGTTATTTAATTTAACTGGATGAAAATTCCTACTTTGAACAAAAGTGACTTGACGTTAATTTCAGACCCAATTCCTTCCATTAACCTACAAAATGTTTGAGGCAAGATTAGTCCAGGGAAACCTCCTTAAGAAGGTGAAATTCATTTTTTCAAAAAAAATTTTAATTCTAGCTTTAGGAATAATAATATTTTTTTTCTGCCAGGTTCTCGAATCCTTGAAAGATCTTCTAAATGAAGCTACCTGGGACTGTAGTGATACCGGAATCCAGCTTCAGGTGAAGACTGATCATTTTATCATAGATTAATTAACAATAACAGATAAAACACTAGATGTCGACTTTTCAAGATTTAGGAGTTAGCTTTTCGTTCACAAGAACCGAGGCAGAGGCCCAATGGAGTTGTGTGCATATTCCAGGGAGAGAACCTGTTCAAGCCGCATGCGTGTAACTCCTTTGGGCCTCTGCCTGAGGGTTATTGTGAACGAAAAACCCATAAATCTTGAAAAGACGACCGGTTATTATCATATAGTTAGATTTTTGCCGTATTGAAACATTTTTCATTACAAATTTAGAAAATCCTCCAATGAAAGCTGGAAAATCTGTCAACTTTTGGCGGGATTTATTTGAAATGTACTGAAAGCCTGCGGAAAGATCAGCAACATAAAAAGATGATGATGTTCTAAAATAAACTAAGCTTAAGAATAAGTTCTTAGAATAGCGTTTGACAAAAGTTAAAGAATGTATTTTTAGGCTATGGACAATAGTCACGTGTCTCTAGTCTCTGTTTCTCTTCGCGCCGATGGATTCGATAAATTCAGGTTTGTTGGGGTTTTTTTTCCCCTTTACATTAGGGTAATTTCTTAAGATTTCAGATTTTAAATAACGAAATAAAATGAAAAACTTTTTTGGGCGCTGACCTATTTTCTGAAGGAGGGGTTCAGTAAAAATGAAGACTTATGGAATCCACCATCTGATGGTCAGGATTATAACTGTTCTCAAGTATTTATTGATCTAGGTGTGACCGTCAGCTAGCTATGGGAATGAATCTTGGTTCTATGTCCAAGATCTTGAAGTGTGCCGCTAATGATGATATTATCACAATCAAAGCTCAGGTTAATAAATTTAGCTCTTCTTGGTCTTATATTTTACTGTTTACTTAAAATATATCAATTTAATAAAACTCTGCGTCGTACCTTATACATGTGGCTCAGTTTGCTAGGGGGTCAGTAAGGAATTTTAAGATAACACAAAATTACAAACGAATATATTGACATTTCGGAAAATAAGATTTTATAGGGGTTATTTATTACTTATCTCAGTTATTATTTCGAAATGTATTTTTTTTCTAGGATAACGCCGATACCGTGACCTTCATGTTCGAATCCCCAAACCAGGAGAAGGTGTCCGACTACGAGATGAAGCTAATGAACCTGGACGCCGAGCACCTCGGGATTCCTGAGACAGACTACGCCGCCGTTATCAAGATGCCCAGCGCCGAGTTCCAGAGAGTGATCAGGGATTTGTCTCAGTTCGGAGAATCTCTAGTCATCTCGTGCACAAAGGTTGGTAAAATTCAATAATTTCAAAAGAGGGTTAAGAGGGGTATAAGGGTTATTTTAACTTACGTTCACTTAGTGAAAAATAAAACAGGAACACACAAAATAAACATACCCTGGGACCCTGTTTACTATTCTTTGTTTGCTGCACTTTCTTTGAGGGCACGTGCTAAAAAGCCGTACAATTACTGAATTTTCAGATTGCAGTTCTATGGTTACTGTTAATTTATATCACCACATTCAGTAGTCTTAATTTTTTTTTTTTAGGAAGGAGTAAAGTTCTCTGCTGCTGGAGATATCGGAGTTGGAAATATCAAGATCGCACAGACCGCTAATGTTGACAAGGTTCATGGATTTTTCGCCAACATTTCATGAATAATTTCTGCAATACGTTTCGTGGATATTTTGATAAAATATTTTAAAACTTTCATATTTTAGTTGCACAAATCTTAAGACAGATTTTGAAAATTGTCAGAATAATTTGATTCCAGGGTCCACAAGTTTTGAACTAAGAAGGTTTTTTTTAGGAATTTCGGTTATTAAGTTATTTTTCACATTTTTAGAAGTAAGAAAATCGTATTTCTCTTTAGCAATTGAAAAAATATAAATTCTAATTTAATATTTTCAGGAGGAAGAGGCAGTTACCATCGAAATGCAGGAACCTGTTTCTCTTGCTTTCGCATGCAGGTATATTTCAAGAGTATTATCTGTTGTGGGGGCATGAAAATAAAAGTAGGTCCGTTTAATAGCACTTGGCAGGATTGTTCTTGCAACTGGCAAGATTTACAAACTTTTATTTAGCAAACCAATAATTTGCCATCCTAAAAATCATTATTTTCCCTAATTCAGCTAATTAAAATCTCTTATTCGTTATACTGCAGATTTGAGAAGGTATTTATTCTAGATACCTGAACATGTTCAACAATATAACCCTCTGTATTCTAGATACCTGAACATGTTCACCAATATAACCCCCTTTATTCTAGATACCTGAACATGTTCACCAATATAACCCTCTGTATTCTAGATACCTGAACATGTTCACCAAGGCCAGTTGTCTGTCTGGTCAGGTCTGCCTCTCCATGTCCCCTGAGGTTTGTAAAAATAATTTAATAAATTAAATGTTTGGCCTCCAGTGGGACCCAACAACTTCGGAATATATAGACGATTGTTAAACTCAATTAAAATTTTGAACAGTCAGATGAACATGAAACAGAACATTTTTGTAGTTTACACTGTACACAGACCCATTCCATTTCCTTTGTAACATCAATCACTGAAGATTGTTTACATGTCGTTTTCCTATTCCACGACCGGATTCTTTAACATTAATGAGTAAACGGGTCCCACTATGAACCATCCAATTAAAGAGTTAGTTCCATTCTCAAGTCACAACGGTAACCTACAATCTTATTCGATTAACATTTAACATAAGTCAAAAGGTTAAAATGGGTGCCGTTATGAACCTGACGTGGAACTCAAAAGATTATTTTATCAAATCCCATTTAAGAAGTTCTTATCTTATTTTTATAAATCCTGTACTAATGTTTAATTTTATAGTTTTAACTAGTAGCCGAAGGGCCCGGGGTTGCCCGTGGAAAAAAAAATTTGAAAAAATGTCGAATTTTTTAGCCTATAACACCCCCCGGCCACCCATGAGTGTCCACAAAAATTGCAGCCCAATTGGTCCAGCCGTTAGGTCTGCTATACGTAACATATGTATATACGAATGTCTTGTTTTATTATATAGATAAAGCGAGATTTAAATGTTTATAAATAATATTTTAATTGCAGGTTCCCCTAGTTGTTGAGTACAATATCGGAGAGATTGGATACATCAGATACTATCTCGCACCCAAGATTGAAGACGAAGACAACTAAATATCCACCAACTCCAAGATGTCCCCCCCCCCCCTCTCATCAGTATAACCAAACATCTACTGTAAATGAATCTGTAAATCTCGTTGTAAACCATTCGACATTTTATTGTACTAAGAACTTGATTAAACGTTTTATCCATTTAAACTTTTTTCTTGATAAAATATTTTTTCAGAGCGGGGGTTAATCTCCCCTGTCTAGAATGGATCAATTGGCTGCTAGCGAGCTACAAGCTACTGTTGCTAGTCTAGGAACTAATGATGGGGTAAATCAATCATAATCTAAGGATTGTACATAAATTGGAAAACGCATCTATTAGAACTAGAAATCTTTAGAATATAAAGACGACTCAAGTTATGACAAAAAATAGTCTTTTGAACTCATGACGCAGCAGGTGTGCACTGTGCAGTGTAAATAGACCCTAATGATTTGATATGATAAGTTAATAATGAAACTAGATGCTTTGTAAATCATAAAATACACAGAAGTATTGTTGTAATGCCGTCTTCCTATTCTAACTTTATAAGAGTCGGCACTGTTCTAATTAAAGATTTGAATATCGCTTTACCAATTACATATAATATATATATATATAAATATATATACATATTGAGTCATCAACGACAATTATCACACTTCTCTGTTGATATTCATATTTTCCGATTCGCTTTTGAAGGGATTAATTGTAATACAAACAATAGTCTAATAAAGTAGTGAAATTAGATTGATGCGAACTATGTCAGCAAGAGTAAGAAAAAATGTAAAAACCTATAAGAAATGATGAATTCTAAATCTTTGAAATACTTCAACATGAGGAAGTCAAGTTAAAGGAGAGAACTATCGTTTTTTTGCTACTGTAGTGTTGAATCATGCTCAACAAGGGCCATTCAGCGAAATATCAAGTGACCCATTTTTTAGTTTAATCAATAGTTCAGATTAACTTCAAAGAAAAACATCACGGGTTCTTCGTTTCTTCTAAAAAACATCGAATAAAGAAATCGTATAATTAATGAAAAGCCTAAATTCTGATTTAATATATATATATATATATACACATGAATATATACTATTATATATAATATTTATAAGAAATAGAATTTAAGGATAATTAAATTATTCCCGCCTAAGACCAAAAACAATGTTGAATTATTTTTATTTAGATATTGATAGTTCATTTTCAGTAAATCATTGGAATCGGGACTTTTATTTCTGAAATTACTAAAAATATAAATTTTCAGCTACTTGCTCCATAATTGTACTTTTTGTCAACTAATGACATGTATATTTAGATCCGGTATAATTTGTATGTTTAGATCCGGTATATTCCGGATGAAGATTGCGTAGAATGCGTCAAGGACCTGATACGCTTTCTGCGTAGGGATGATGAGAACCATGAGGTTTGTAAATCAGAATAAAATTTAAAACTTTTTATTAACTTTAAAAATTTGATTAGCTTAAATTTAGTTCGATAGGCCTTGCTATTTTAGCTTCTCCCGTTGTTGACAAAACTGCATGGTATCATATTTCTTTCTGTTATTTTTTGTTGTCTATTTTTAATTTTTGGCAAATAAGCTTAGTTTAAGACGACTCCCTCCATTTATACCCTCTAGAGTTAAATCTGTTTTTTATTCATAAATGTTTGTTTATTGCCCCCCCCCCCTCCTCCTCTATTTTTTAAAACTTTAAAATGCCATTCTTTACAGATGTTGCGACAAATCTAGGGAAAATTATTGTTGTTAGGTTTCCCTTTAATATTTGTTGTTTTCTGTAAACAATTACGTTTTCTTACATATATTTTGTTTTAGTACTTATGAGGACATCTTAAAATTGTCTAAATATTTTTTTATTTCCAATCTTGTTTGGTTTGACCTTCCAAATATATAATTCACTTTAATATATTATTTGGTTTTAATTCTAGAAGGTGAATTTTTTTCTGATAAGAAGTGATGAAATTAAAACTGTCAAAATTTGCGATTGGTAATTTTCTCAACCACGATTTTCTGGTAGAAATAAACTTCAAATTGAATAAACTTTTATAACGAAGTATTTTATTTAAGAAATGTAAGATATTTATTTCGAAATTGGCGTTTGTGTTTGCATGCATTGGTATTTAACAACTTGCAACGATGTACAATGTTCATCTAAATCATATTTTTTATTTTGATTGGTGTATATAGTCTACAAAGAAAATACAAAAGTGTAGGACTACGGTAGTATTGCTAAATTATGATGATTGATTGATTGCTTGCTCAATTGATAATCAATCAATCAATGAAATGTAAGAGTTATTTTATCTGTTTTAATATTATCCCGGTTGTTTGACCTGACCACGGTCGAAACTAAGCTTTTTAATTATCTCGCCAAACTTTTCATTTTTTTTAAGAAATCTCATTGTTAAGGTGAGAAGAGCGCTGGGAGATCTTGGTGTTGTTAAATCAGATCTTATTCCGATCATCAAAGATCATTCTCACAACAGGTCAAGCGTTTTTTAAATATTTTGATATAATTTAAAAGTCTGATTTGATCTGATCTAATCACAGTCGGGGTCAGTCTTTTTATTTTACTCCAAAAGGTGAAAAATAAAATCAAAACATCTTATTTTTGAGATCTCCTCATTCAGATTTCGTCATTTTTATTGTCTAAATTCACAACTTTCCCCTTTTTACTATTACTTGAGCAACAAATAAAAGGTATTGTCGTTTTTATCTTTCATAGAAATTGCTTTTCTTTTTCCCTCTGCATAAATAAAGGTACATTGTGCAATGTGCATGTCATTTTTACAGAAAATCACAAATTTAAAAATCAATTTTATGATAATTCATCATTTTTACTGGAGACAAATGTTTAGACAAAAGTATACCACTGAGATGAAATGTTTTGTTTTCTCGAAAAATACCTAAATAATTATTTTAGGGAATTGTTCGATGTAACTCTACGGTTACTGGTAAACCTCACAAATCCGGAACTTCTTCTTTTTAAGGTATTTTCAAATATCAGATTCAGAGGGATATATTTTCTTTACATATTATTCCCCAGGTGGGTGTGTAATTCTTTTACCAAGATGGTAGCTTTGTTTGCGCGGAGCGGGAAAAAATTAGGTTTATATTCTCAGAAGAAGGGGGGAAAATAAATCAATTTTTAGTTAGAAAGAAACTTTACTGTTCACCTGAGCATCAAAAATTATTTTCTAATTAAATAAATAAAATAATAAATACCTTAATTTTTTCATTTGTCATCAGGAAGAATTGCCTGAGGATAAGGAAACAAGAAACTATTATCTTCAAATTCAAAACCATAGACAACAGTACAAACAGGTACCTTGTACATAGAAAACAGTACAGACACGTACCTTGTACATAGACAACAGTACAAACAGGTACCTTTTACATAGACAACAGTACAAACAGGTACCTTGCACATAGAAAACAGTACAAACAGGTACCTTGTACATAGACAACGGTACAAACAGGTACCTTGTACATAGACACAGTACAAACAGGTACCTTGTACATAGACAACAGTACAAACAGGTACCTTGTACATAGACAACAGTACAAACAGGTACCTTGTACATAGACAACAGTACAAACAGGTACCTTGTACATAGACAACAGTACAAACAGGTACCTTGTACATAGACAACAGTACAAACAGGTACCTTGTACATAGACAACAGTACAAACAGGTACCTTGTACATAGACA